CGTCGTATCCAAAACATTTTTCCAGCAAAATGTTCTTAAAAGACTAGTCTACACCACTATATGATTGAAAAAAAAAATTGAAAAATGTTTTTGACCTCTAAAATCAAGATGGAAAAAGAAAAGCCTAAGTAGTGTAAAATTATGTTACGGTTATTCTGCAGTTATGGATACGATCTACCGTGGGGGCGTTTATTCGCGTTGTTGCATGGATTTTTTATCAATTTTTTGAGCTCCCATATTTTATAGCCCATTTACTTAATACTGGACTGTGCGACAACTTTACCATTTCGCCACAACATGCCTCAATTTTGATAGCAAACTTTAATTCTCGTATCTGTATAAATGGATTTAAAGGGAAAACTATTGATTAGTTTTCTCAGATGATAATGAAGATTATGACTCGGCAACAACATGTGATAGAAATTACATTACAGTACTAGTAATACTCTGGACTAGCATTGTTTTAGTTACCATATGAGAGCTTCCTGTGTTAAAAATATGATTTACTATACTATACTTCTTTATAAAACATAACTTGTACTTTATAATAAGAGAAATCTGTATATTATCGGTACCGGAACAGTAACAACACGAAAGTGCTATGCAATCCAGCTATTATAGTAGAGATCAGTGATGCCTTCGCAAAGTATAGTTTTGCAACAACAGCGCCTACTTGAATGCATTTTGTTGTTCCATAAAATAATTCAAACTACGTATTTTGTGTTAGTTTGTGGTGCGAGTAATGATACATGCCACTATTATTGCTATTATTAGTTAATATTATTGTTGTTGCTGCCATTGCTGCTTGCCCTTACTAATATCAATATGTGTTTGAGAGTGTGACGTCAGAACATATTCTAAGGCAAGATCACATCAATTTCTGTGGTTAGGAAGTTTATTCAATGTGGATTAAGGGTCTTCTTTCAGCTAATAACATCAAGGTTAACAATTTTCGTAACAGCCTCTGTTAAAGCCTTAAGATTCATGTAGGCCCACAAAAAATCCTGGTGTCCCAACCCTCAAATTCCCCATGATTAACAATCTCACCTCCACCCCCAGTTTTTGTACTAATTTCATTCTAAAATAAATTTTTATAATGCTAGTGTTTCCCTTGTGCGTTTTCAAAATTAAGAGGCTGTATTACATAGTATAAGACACATACATTTTGGTATAATGAAATTTAGGAAAACATAAAAATTATTAACAATTTTCTGCATTAGGCTAACCAGCCCTCCTTAAACTAACATTAGAATACCGCACTTTCGGCGGTAAAGAACAATTAAAACCTCATAAAAAAGGCAACTAATCCGTTTACCCATAATTGAATCCAAGGACACCAGTGTTAAACACTCTTATCCTTGATAATGTGTTAATCCAATTAATATAGTGAGATAACGTAACGTTAGTTTATCGAGGGCGGGTTGAGCTAATGGCTTGTCATCATATCTAGAACCTCAAAAAATGCCATTAAAAAATTGAAATGCTCATTACATTTGAAATTAGAAACAGGACAAAAAGGAAAAATTAGGCTTGTCTTTAGTAAAGTAAATACATCGTTGACTTTCAAGATTGTGGGTCAGTTGAGATTGGGCAACAATTATTGTTTGCCTGAAAGCTTATTTTTTTCTCTTCTTGGCTTTCTTTAATTTTAGTTAAGATCGTCTGTAATTTTCTAACACAATTTCAAACTCTTCTGTTTCTTGCTCATACGATGTCAATTTTCCACGTATATTTTTATAATATCCATAGTGTTTGAGACGGTAAGTTCCAAGGCCAACGTTCAATGGTACATTCCATGACAGCGTTGCCTCTCCATATGACCCGAGTAGACTAATTTCCTTCCTTTTCCATTCAAATCTGTAAGGATATGTCAATATCGTTTTAAATGTTTGAAATCATAATAACAGAATTGACAGCAATTGTGACAGTGGTGGAGTTGTTGCCGTTGTTGATGCCGCTGCCTTTGCTGTTGTCATCACCATTATTAATTTTATTGTTATAGTTAAAAAAAATAATAGCCAGATTATGTTTTAATACTAATCATTATTATAATACATAAATATTTATCATGTTTTCTATAATATATAAAAATATTTGTTGTAATCAAGTATATTAATTGAATTTATAGTTTAAATTCTTCATATACAGTACAATAGTTTATATATATGAATATATTATAATTCTATACTTACTTTGTAGACCAATCAGCATCACTAAAGACCTGTTTGTATACTCCATCCTCCATCTTCATTTCAACATACATATAAGATTGTCCACGCTACAAAAAATATACATAACATTTTTTACATACGTACTATCAGCTTACATATCCAAAAGCAAGACACAACCAGGCCACAGGGGCGGCAATAGCGGAGGGTACAAGGGGAAAGGGCTCCCCCCACCCGTCAAGGACTTCTGGACCAGCAAGGTCGTCGGGGGAAAAAATTTTTCAAGCATTCCTTAATAAGCTGTCAAATTTTAGGGATTAAAAACTGTTTAGTGCGAGCAGTGCTATCGTATGTGTGAGGTGTTGTATGCTATTGCAATCATATTAGTCGCAATGGGGCGACAGCTCTTCCACAACGGGGGGCTGGTACCTCCAACAGGGGTTTCCGCAACAGGGGGCTAATACCTCCAACAGGGGTTAGTACCCCAACAGGGGAACTACTACTTCTGACATGGGTGACTCTCTTAACTTAAATGGCCCTCTCTATAAAATTAATTCTCCCTGGCAAATATAATTTTTTCCACAACAGAGGGGTATGGACCCCCTTGTAGGGGAGCTTGGACCCCTCGTTGGGGAATTCCTGGCACTGCCCCTGCCAGGCCAGTTTCTAAAAAAGGTGTATTGGAAGTAGCCAAAATTTTGCAAGTGATAAGCAAGATATAATTTTTTAGAAGGTCTATAATAAATAGTTATTCAGTAGAATTGTACCAACCTATACTATCCATCATTTATACTGCACTATTTCCAGAGAATGAATAGCACTACATAACGAGAGTTACATTACATACAAAAACAAAAGTGCATAATGATTCTCATCCCACTTCTGAATTGTGTGCTGAGCCCATTACTAAACTAAAAAAATTGTTGTTCAATATGACACTGGAATAAAAGCCACCAGTAAAAACAGAAAGTATGGAAGGCCACTCTGGTTGACAAACACCACTTGAATAAAAATCCTAATGATACCTACCATTTGTGATGCACTTCCCCTTGGATTTCCACAAGCAAACACTGCTTCTACAGTTGCACCCTGAAAAAAAAAAACATACAGTATTAACTTCACTACCCCATTTCTTTAAAAGAAAGTACATTTAAGTATTGATTACTTAACTATCGTCACAAATGGAATTCATTTTATTTATTTATTTATTTATTCTCAATATTTTACCAGGGTGGCCCAATCAGTCAAAGAGAGTGGTCTCCCTTGGGGCCCTGGGTACAAAATATTTTTAGACAACAAAAACTTAACTAAAAATTTACACA